TGTAAATGTTGCTCGCCAAACTGAAAAATATGTCCATATCCTCCTGCCTTTGCAAATATACCTTCATAATGACCTGAAGACAAGGTTCAAATGTAAAATTTCTGGGCACTTTGAGGTTAATAGCACATATATGTAGCAGCGCAGGGCATGCCAGCTCCTGGCCTCTGGCCTGCCCCCTCCTCTTCTCACCCCAGCTCCTGAGTGGGCTCTCACGCACAGGCTCGGCCTGCTTAGACCACATGCCCAAGCTCTGTGCATGACTCACAACAGCTGCCCGTCTTCACCCCTCAGGCCCAAGGGTGGTGTCACCTGCAGTATGGTGCTCCACAGGAAGACAGAGCCTAAGGAATCCCTTCATGCATGATCTAAAAGTGAGAACAGAGCATCTTGGGCAGGAAATTTGGGGTCCCAGTTACCTGGAATGTGGTCTACAGAAAGACACATGAGCTCCAGGTGGGCACATCCTCACTCCAGTGGGTAGGGGCTAGATTGGGGCCCTGTAAAGCCTAGGGCCAGGGCGGCGCTGCCTCTCACAGAGTCTGGGTCGGCCAAGAGCCACTATTTGTGGAATGCACTCTGTGCTGTTCTGTGTGCTTACCGTGTGTTGTAATTTCCACGTCACAGAGTTTTCAGGGAACTTGCTCAACTCAGCTAATTATGGCAGAGCCAGGATTCCATCACCGGACGGCCATCTGACTCCAGAATCCATGCTCTTCCTTGCACTGGTTTACCATTTCTCATTAAAGGCTGGGAAGCACTGGATTGGATTATCTCAGAGCCCACTCCCTTCCCAGTGATACTCTTCAGCTGTGTGAGCAGGGCAGGCCCAGCCTCACCACCTCTGCGAGGAGGTGGTGGTCCAGACAGCCTAAGTTTCAGACCTGCTGACTTGCATTACACACACTCCAGACTAAGTTCTGTTACTAAACACTCCAAATCTGGGTTTGTTGATCATTTGTGAGCACAGGCTATGGTGTCTTCATCTGAACTTTCTCCGGATGATCTCCCTGAGTAAATGGGAATGCTGAAATGACTCTGCCCAGGTGAACTTTTCTCTTATCCTCATGGAAATTATGTGGTTCTTTCCTGCTGCTGGCAACTCACAGTGTGGAGTAAACACATTCCCTTGGAAATGCTCTTAATTCTAGGTTTTCCAACATGAAAGTATTTTATCAAAATAATACTTAGTCTAGGCAGTGTTTTTTCTGAGTTCCAACATCTTAGCTCTATGGATCATATTTTGACTAGGGCTATGGCCCAGTGTTGATCCCATTCCTTCATTGCTGGGGTGAGGAGCAGTAACTGAACTACTAGAAAGCCTTTCACACTTCCTCTATGCAGGCCAGCTCGGGAACTTTGATAAAGAACCTTGGGAAAAGGCAACCACTGTAGGGCTCACAGCCCCTCAGCAATAAGGCTCAATAGCCCCCAACTGTGCCTGCATGCTGCAAAGACACACACTATAACGTTTCCCTAAATTAAATTTATAACGTATTTTCTATCCCCGATATTACTCCCCTAAGACCTAGTTAATGGGCAAAGGACTGAGTACTGGATGGTAGGATTTGGGTCAGCTGGGTAATAACCTGGCACAGTTCTAAACAGTGCGCCTGCAGGGGCAAGTTTCATGTGATGGTCCACAGAGGAGCGATTTCAGTATGCATGTGTTTCCCTGGACAGTGGCAGGATGGGTTCCTGTTTACTGTTCTCATTTGTCCAGTTGTGAAAGAGTTAGTTTCATTCTTTTTGCTTGTTAACATCTTCAGCCCTGCAGCAACTAACCTCTGGGCTGTTCAGATAGTCTTGTGAGGTCAGAGCAGCAAGAATCCAATGTGGTCATTTTTAAAATTTTAATCTCAATCTTCTTTCCTTTTAGAATACTATTCAGTAACAATTTAGAGCTGTAGACCAGCACGCCTTTAGCAGAATGACTTCATGACTCGGCATCCCAAGTTGTGAGTTCTAGTCCTGGTTGTGCCACTTCCTAACTTTCACTTTGCGCCTCAGTTTTGTTAATGGTCAATTGGAGATAGAAGTGTTTGCCTCGTGTATGTGGAGAGATGGGCAGGCATCTGAGGACCATTTTGACAGTCACGAATGAGTTAACCAAGGTGACAGGAAGGTGAGCAAGACATGGCCCCTGCTCTCAATGGAAAATCCACATGTCAATGGCTAATGATGGCCTGGTGTGTGGGTGAAAGAAATTGAGACTTTGAAGTACTTTCCATGAAAAGTTATTATTATTATTATTATTATTAAGCATTAATAGAGTAGCTTGGAAGGTAAGATGAACCTAGCCAGTCTGGGACTCTCAGATGCTGAATTGGCCCAAGTTAATGCCAGGCACCAAGAACAGACTCACGGTTCATTTGATGGCAGCTTCTAGGGCTGAGCTTGTGAAACACAAATCTGTGTAGTCAAGGTTTTGCCTACTCTTTTTGGAGTTGTTCATAAGCATAGTACAAAAAAAAAAAAAAGATTCTGAGTTCAAATAAGTTTGAGCAATGCTGTATACTGCATGCCCCTTGACAATTAATCCTTCCTTCCTTCCTTCCTTCCTTCCTTCCTTCCTTCCTTCCTTCGTTCCTTCCTTCCTTCCTTTCATAGAGTTTCGCTCTTGTTGCCCAGGCTGGAGTGCAATGATGTGATCTCAGCTCACTACAACCTCCACCTCCCCGGTTCAAGCGATTCTCCTGCCTCAGCCTCCCAAGTAGCTGGGATTACAGGCACCCACCACCATGCTTGGCAAATTTTTTGTATTTTTAGTAGAGATGGCATTTCACCATGTTGGCCAGGCTGGTCTCGATCTCCTGGCCTCAGGTGATCTGCCTGCCTTAGCCTCCCAAAGTGCTAGGATTACGGGTGTGAGTCACCACGCCCAGTAGGCAATTTCTTATACATATTAACAGTTAAAGATTCTGGAAACTGGAAAGTTTGGCATTAAATAAATCTGAACTTTTGCTTACCTCTGTTTAATTTAAATTTGTGCATGCAAGACTTTTTCAATTCCCCTTCGATAATACCTCAGTGAGAAGTGTTCCAGAAGGCACCAGTTTGGGAAACACTGAATGGTAAATGTTATGGCAAACATCTGAGGTGATTATAAGAGAGTCAGATAAGATTGTAGATGTGTTGGCTCAAATCTATTTCTAGTAGTAAAAAAACAAAAACAACCTAAAGCACATGACCTACAGAACGTGGGTCAGTAAATCAAAACAAAAACGTACATGATCATTGTATTATTCATGGTTTATGCAAGATGTAAATGTGCTAATCCATCCAGCACTCTATTTCAACTTTCTTATTACCTCACCTGAATATTTCTTACTTAAACCTGATATTTTATTTTAGAGCTAGATTTGAATCTGTTACTTTTACAAATTTGGGTGAATCATGTGACCCATTTACTTCCGTCGTTTAACATGAATGACAATACAGGACTATTTTGAGGATAAGAGACACTACCTGTAAAACCAGCTCCCCCATGCATGGCACACAGCAGGTCTTTTGTCAGTCACTGCTCTCTTTTGCCCTCCAAATTGTTATTAAAAACATTTGTGGTGGCTTTATGTGAAGTCGGTAGGATTTTCAAAAGAAGCCGTTACTAATTGTCCAAGGCCGTTGTAGGATTTAGGGAGAATTTTTGTTTCATGCTTCTTCCATTTGTACGGGCAAAAAAGAAAAACATAAAATTGTTGACTTCTGGTGCCACTTCCTTCTTAACCTAGGAAAGGAGATTGTGGGTGTAAATGTGAGCTCATCACGGAAAGCTGAAGTGGAATGGTTGCCATTGTGGCTGTGGCCCACTCTGGAGCCTGGGGAGAGTCTTCTGTCTGTGGTGGCTGGCTGTGGCCAGGACTAATGTCATCCAATAGGCTCACTTCCTTCATCCAGTTTTTCTTTTTACGTATGTGCTTATGTAACTTGTGGTGGAAAATTTTTGCCAAAAACCCAGAGGGAAGTGGCAAACTACTTTTGTTCTTATGGTGTCTTTGTTCTACAGAATCTCCTTTTTGAAAAAGTTGAGATCATCCCTCCATGCATCCATCCACCCACCCATTCATTCAACCGCCAGCAACATCCAACATCACCGTTTACTAGCACACCTACTGTGGAGTAGGCTGGAACGTTCCTACCCTCATGGAGCTTATTGTCCAGAAGTGGTGACTTTAGCACTCAATGGAGGGCCCACACATTGCTTTCTGTAGGCAACCACAAGGGACACTTTCTTAAGTGACCAGCAGTCTGGTATACAGCATGACTAAATTGTAGCTCTTGTCTGAAAATCTCAAAATGCACTTTCAAGAGAATAAATGAATAAAGATTGGCTACCTATTAACCACTGGTTGTCACTTAGACTTTTAATCTCCATCTACCAAGCAAAGTCTTGGGTCTGAGATCCTCTGATATGTAAGAAGTCATCTCTGCTTTCAAACAGGTGCAATTATCAGCTCACGCTCACCATTCAAAACATGGGACTCTAATGCAATATGGTTTTGTTTTACAAGGCCTAAAGCCTTGAAAGATGCATTCACTAAAAAACAGTGAAAGTGTCCAGGCTTCTGGTCAATCCCTGTGGAAAAAACCCATGACCAGGACTCACTGTTGTCCTGAAACATTTCCTGATTAGGGTGTGATAAGTACAAACCTTCTGGATACAAGAGAAAAAAAGACAGACCTCTGGCAAGAGCAAAGGATGGTGGGTGCATTGAAGTGTCAGGCATGAAGTGCATAGTTCCAGCAGCTATCTCATTTAATGCTCCCAATGATTCTATAAAGTTGGTTGTATTTCCCGAAGAGGAGACTGAGGCTCAGAGAAGTCAATTAATTGACCAAGAAACCAATCCGGGTATATCTGCCTTCTAGTGTATTGCCCTTTTAAGCTGTGCTACATGGCATTCTGTTTGGAAGCTTGAATATGGCAGCAAAGGCATCTGATGGATTAGGCAATTGAGCTCTTGTACCCCAATCTCCTAACTTCTCTACAGCTGCAGCCCTACTTTTTTTTTTTTTTTAATCCAAAATGTGTTTATTGAGATGGTTTCCCACTCATCTTGATTCAGAGTGCTTTTAGTGCTGCCTCCTCCTAAAGGAACATCCTCCTGTAAGCCTTGCTTTTCCTCCTGTAGGCTGGCAGAGGCCAGTGGAGCAGCCAACACACAAAACTACAGTTTGTGCACGGCTAAAGACCGTGGAGATTTTATAGCATCCTGAGCATTTCACATCCATGCAGTAGGAATTGGGGCTCTGCACCAGGCATTTCTTCTTGTGTTTCCTCTTCTCCTCTTCTGGGGAGGAAGGAAGGAGGTCCTTTGCGAGAGGCATGTTCTCGTGTGGGTAGGTCATCACCGCTGGAAAGACGCAGCCCTACTTTTTTGCAGCAGCAGCAATCATCTGTCTTCACCCCATGGGGTTGTGGATTAAGAAGCCTCTGGAGGCTCCCAGGTGGCTCTGTCCTTTACCAGCTGGGTGGCCATCGAGGGACCACTCCCAATCATTATACCTCAGTTTCCTCGGTTTACCAAAAAGGAAATAATACTACACTAAAATGAAAACATAACAATAAGGAGCACTGGGATAGGAGGGGAGAAGCTTCAACCTGAGAGTAAAGACAGACCTGCATTTGAATCTAGTGTCTGCCATTTACAAGTTATGTGACCTTGGGGAAGCTCCTTAAATTCTTTAGTCTTCAATGTCCTCATCTGATAAATGGAAAAAACAACAATACCCTCGGGGTGTTGTGGCAAGGATTAAATGAATGTACGTAAACACCTAGCGCAGTGACTGGAAGACTGTGATTACTCAATAAAGTTAGCTACTGTTATTACCCAGGTTGACCAACTCAGAGGGCTGTTGTGAAGATTACTCTATTGTGTTACTTATCATTAGTGGTGGCAGTGGTTGTGGTTGTAATGAGTGTTTACTATTAATATTTTTTTTTGTAGTTACATGCTTGAAGAAGGGCCAAATGACACAGCTATATCTTACCCTGAAATACATAGATCTCAACCAAATATCCCTAGATCTCAGGAGCAAAAACTATGAGATAAGAGCAAGTTCACCAAGAGTGGCTGTGACAGGTGAAGTAAGCGTTTGAAGAAAACATTGGCCAGGCGCAGTGGCTCAAGCCTGTAATCCCAGCACTTTGGGAGGCCAAGACGGACGGATCACGAGGTCTGGAGATCGAGACCATCCTGGCTAACACGGTGAAACCCCGTCTCTACTAAAAATACAAAAAAAAATTAGCCGGGCGTGGTGGCGGGTGCCTGTAGTCCCAGCTACTCGGGAGGCTGAGGCGGGAGAATGGCGTGAACCTGGGAGGCGGAGCTTGCAGTGAGCCGAGATCCAGTCACTCCACTCCAGCCTGGGCGACAGAGCGAGACTCCGTCTCAAAAAAAAAGAAAAAAAAAAAAAAAAAAAGAAAACATTGGGCCTTCCCATAACACAGTTGATCCTTGCCCCCGGCCGGTGCTGGTACTCACCAGCATTTATTCGCAGGCCAAGGATTTGTGTCAATCATTTTGGCTGGAAAAGTGTGCCAAAGAGACAATCTGGACATCAGGAAAAGAACAATGCAGGATGGTGGTGTTTGGGTAAGGCATCACAGAAGCTCCAGACCCACAGCTGCCCCTGCTGGAACTCCCCTGGTGTGCTCAGCCCTCCAAAACCAGACAAAAATGCTCTGCAAGGAAATGAAGAAGTTCACAAAACAGGCTGGTCTCTCTCCACGATGGGTTTGCAAATTGTGGCCCGCATGGAGACAATTCCTTTTCCCATGCCCATGGCAGTCATCACTAACCAATGATGTTACTCTTTCCTGCTGAGCCCAGACAGAGCTTCAGAATCCTTCCCAACAAAGCGCACCCGGCACACGCTGCTGAAAGATCAGCATTTTCCTGCAGGATGAAGTCTAGTGGTAATCTCACTTCAAAATATCAGCCTAGCAGTCTTCCAGCATTTCAAAAAATGGTGGCAACAGCAGGCCCTACTGGTTTCCTACTAACAGAGACTCACCTATTCTTGGTCTTTCTTGGCAGAGTCTACCTTGCACTATGGAGGCTGAAATGTCAGGTATTCCATTTACCAGTCTCCTCTGCAATTAGGAAGGTTACGTGGCCTATTCCTGGCCAGTGAGACACAAAGGAACTCTTTCTGTATCACTCTGGTGATCGTATTTTTACTGATAAAAAGAGATGTGCAAAGAGAAACACGACTCTTGGAACTTGCATACGTGAGGCTGTAATGTCTGGAGCTGCGGCCATCATCTCCTAACCATAAGGACCTAAGCCTAAAGGCAAAAGTCTGTGCTCTATGGATGGTGGAGCAAAAAAAAAAAAGGCATCTGGAATTTTTTTTTTTTTTTTTTTTTTTGAGATGGAATCTCACTCTGGTGCCCAGGCTAGAGTGCAGTGGCGTGATCTTGGCTCACTGCAACCTCCACCTCCCAGGTTCAAGCAATTCTCCTGCCCCAGCCTTCTGAGTAGCTGGGAGTACAGGCATGCACAATCATGCATGGCTAATTTTTGTATTTTTAGTAGAGCTGGAGTTTCAGCATGTTTGCCAGGCTGGTCTCAAACTCCTGATCTTAGGTGATCCACGCACCTTGACCTCCCAAAGTGCTGGGATTATAGGTGTGAGCCACTGTGCCCAGCTGGGATCTGGATCTTTAAGAATATTCTTTGTCACTAAATTTACCAAATTTGGAACCACCTACTCCTGGACTTCTCATTATGTGAGAAAATAAGCCATTCTTATTAGGTCAATTTTAGTTGGATATTTATTTATTTATTTTATTTTTTAAGATGGAGTCTCACTTTGTGGCATGCAGTAGCACGATCTTGGCTCACTGCAACCTCCGCCTCAAGGGATTCAAGGGATTCTCCTGCCTCAGCCTCCCGAGTAGGTGGGATTACAGGCATGCACCACCATGCCTGGCTAATTTTTGTGTTTTAGTATAGACAGGGGTTTCACCATGTTGGCCAGGCTCATCCTGAACTCCTGACCTCAAGTGATCCACCTAGCTTGGCCTCCCAAAGTGCTGGGATTACAGGCATGAGCCACTGTGCCCAGCCTAGTTGCATATTTTATTACTTGCAGCCAGAAGCATTCTTTCTTGATTTGAATCTGTTTTCTTCTGTTTATGGAATCCGCTACCTTAAATAGCAGAGCACACTCCTGGTAGCAAAGCTATTGATGCCAATTGCTCACTTTCTCAGCTTCCTATGCAATTCAGAATGGGCGTATTATGTAAGCTCCACCAATCATATGCACCCATGCCAAGCCTTGCTTAAGAAGCTCATAGCATATAGAAATAGAGGTGGTACACAATCTGTGCTAGTGAAGGAGCCAGGAGCTATGTCCAGCTTCCACAGGCAGTCTTGACAGCAACTCTGGCTGCAGCTGCAGCTGGAGTCTGGTGATGTCCAGTGTCAGGAGTGCCGCTAGTGTTGGCGATGCCCTGCAGCATCACTGGTGGCATTATTTGGAGTGGGTAGGGGAGGGATTTCCTGGGTGCGTTACTTCCAAGCCTGGCTCTCCATCCTACCAAGAGAATTTTTGAGCTTCTCAATGTCCTTTTAATCAATCCCCATCTTGATTAAAATAGCAAAATTGGTTTCTGTTGCTACAACTAAGAATCTTAACTGATAACTCATATCCAATGGCAACTATGGATGACACCATCTGAAAGAAGTCCTTCGTCAGCAAACTGCTCGCTTGCCATCTCATTTGAGTGCATAAACAGATACATCTCTAAGTCCTGGTGTGTAAAAAGTTGGAACATTTTTACTTTTATTAATTTGGATTTCCATGGTGAGGAAGGTATAAACTCAACAAAATTGTTAAAAGAATCCTCCAGAAACACACATGAGACAATTTTTTCTACTTCCTGGAAGGAAACAGGAGCTTAGCCTCTGTCTTTTTTGCGGTTGCTCAGTGTCCACAGTGACGCAGTTACCATGGTAAGAGCTTCCTTTTGAAAACATAGTGGAGTCAGCCCATTCAGAACGTGTTCTAGCAGGCATGTGATTCTTTCCTGCTTCCATAGACACCAGTTTCACTGTAGGCTCCATGTATTGTTGTCTTCTTCCTGAGACCTTGGGTTGGGGCCAGCAGAGTGGGTTTTGATAACAGCTGTTTCTCTCCTGATTCTTTTTTGATTTCTTTGATATATGAGGCTGCGAGTGAAGACTTACATCACATGCCGAAGTGATGTGAGAGCCAGGAGCAGAACCAAACCTCCTCCTGGAAGATTCTGATGCTATTTAGGCCTTGAGGGTAGACCAGATGGCTGACACTGACCCTGGAGCTATTCAGTAGTCTGTAGACTAAAACTGCCATAGGCTCACTTGCCTCAGATCTTAATTTCCTGTTACTCTTCTCATCCTTAAACCCTTTCTTCTTTAGTTAGTCAATAATAATAATAATAATAAAAGTCACCTTTAATAAATACATACTATCAACCTTCCCACAAGCTATAGGCTTTATATACATTATTTCATTTAACCCTCCTATCTCCTCTGCCAGGTAAGTATTATTACCCCCATTTTACAGATGAGAAAACTGAGATGCAGAGAGGTTAAGAAGTTTATATAAGGTCCCTTTGAGAGGTTGACATTATTTGTGATCTTCTCCTATGTCCATGCTTGATTTCCCAGACAGACTCTTTGAAAGCAAGAACCAGGTAACATTGATGAGTCTCACATCCACAGTGTTAGAATGCCCTGATTTGTATCATTGGCCTATTTCCATTGTGTAAATACGCCCATCATCACTCATTTCAAGCTACCAGTGTGAACTCACTGGGAGCAGATGTGCACAATGGGCTGCCACAAGCCAGGGAAAGCCAGCTATGGCACCTTGCTGGCCCCTGAGATATGCAAAGGTATCTAAGGGGTCTAGCCCCAAACTCTGCTTGTCTGTTTGGGTAGGATTTTGGCTCTGTCATTCTCTAATAGTTGTTAAAAGCATAGTACCTTGGAAGAGTTTGCTAATGAGGGTGGTGGATACTTCACCCAAATCTTACTCTGTACCCTCTCAGGGTAGGACACTCAAGATTTGTGCCAGTCCCAAGGGGGACACACCCCTCTGCATGAGGTGATGTTTAGGCAGAGGGAAGCTGTGTGACCCTTGGCATCCCTTCTAAATAAAAGTAAAACAGCTAAAACAAAGCCTTTTTGCTGTGATTTGGAGTAATAACGTGAGGAATTTCTTCTAAGAATGATTAACCATAAAGGCATGCAAAATATGTCTGACCGAACACAAAGTTTAATGATATCGTATTCTTCCTGCCAACGACAGACCTTTTCATCATTCTCTTATGTCTA